AAGCACAGCCGCGACAACAGGCAAATCCTCGATAAACTTATTATAGTTCAAGCTTCCCAAGAACGACCGAACACCCTTCAGGGTCGATGGGAAAGGTAGGTCTTGAACACTCTTGTTAATATTCGGGGTAGCCCTGATACCTTCAGCACAGACTTCGTGAGACAGGTATGGTATAGCTTGTTTGCCGAACTCGCTCTTCGGAAGACTAACCGAGATATTCCAGTACCGGAGTCGAAATAGTAGGGCATTAAGGTCTTCACAGAGTTCGTCCCAGGTAGGCGCCCCATGAGCTATGTCATCTATGTAAGAGCTTCTCCCCAGGACTGGTCCCATCTGCGTTGGGGTCGGAATGTTCCGCCTGAAGTCGCCTCCTTCATCAACTCGGCAAACCTGAAGCTACCTTCGCCTTGAGGAATTTCAATCGGCGGTCCTGTGTCTGGGTCAGTCAACTCCAGAAATTCCAGGACATCTCGGTCGACCTTAGCCTCCTCTTCGGGTGTGAGCCGCACGAATCCCCAGCGACAGTTGTTAATCACACTCTGGTACACTAACGGCGCGTTCTTGAGTCCAAATAGCATCCGGATCCACTGAAAATGTCCAAACGGGCAGACAAAAGCCGAAATCAATTTCGCCCGCTCTGTCATCTGAATCGCCCAGAAACCACTCGCCATATCCAGGCTCATGAACCATGCCGCAGCGTTAAAGTCAGTCAGCAAGTCGTCAATCAGAGGTAGAGAATAGCGCGATAGCTTGATCAACTGATTAACGAGCCTATAATCAACACACATTCTGATATCCTCTCCATTCCTCTTCAAGACGATCACGATCGGAGATGACCACTCCGACTCAGAATGTTCAGTGAGTCCAGTCTCTAGGAGCTTCTTCAGCAGTTCGTAAACCTTCACCAGATATCTGGAGGCGATCTGTCGAGCACGCAGCGCTATCGGCGTCGCATCACCTACGTCCAAATCACAAATGACTCCGTGAGCTGGGGCCGACGCGGCATTGCCATCACCTAGAAAGTACGATGATAGTTCAAGATCTTCCGCATCTGGTCCTCTATCTCTGGGGTCGTGACGCCTGGGACGCCAACGTCGGCTTTGTCGATGTCACACTCTAGACTCAGCTCTTCTAACTCTGGGAACATAGTCAGACGATCGCTCAACTGAGCTAAAAGCTCCGTCCCTTCACGTAGATATACAGCTGGTTCCAGATCTAAC